TTCCCTAAGATTTGAGTATTGCGTGGTCAATAACACCCTCCTGTGACGCCATATCCCCTGCAACCACCCTTCCACGAAATGAACCACCCATTCCCACCCACCAACACAATGAAAGACTCAAACACGCAACACAAATGGGTCGGGCAATGGGGAAAAGGGTCAACGAACCAATCGGGGGTATCACTTCACAAAGTTCACCATGCCTTTGACTCGCGTATCTTGTCTTGCGTTGCCGTGAGGTTACAATATCCAAGTCATGGACAACCGTTCCTCAGGGCTAGTTCAACACTCCTTCCCCCAGCAAATAGCCGCACATGACTCCGCAGTGCTGGCGCCCGGTTTCGATCAGCGAGTCCGCAGTAGAACAAGTGGTAGTGCGGACCCAGCTCTGCTGCGACAAAAACGCACCAGGGAGAAAGTACGATTTGGGCCCAAACCACGAGACCGCTTGGGAAAAGGGGCATCCTCCATCTTTGTTCTGTAGATGCAAGAATACAAGTGCATATTCTGAGTTCACATCTACACACACAACAGATCGACAAAGGTTAGACCCAAGTTCATTCAACAACAAAGCACACGCAAGTCCCCAATAAAATATATTCCCCTGCAATCTCTCCAGCTATAGTCTGAGAGAAGAAGAGCATTCCAAAGTGGTTATCAATTGCAGTCTGTCCTTGGGGATACACCACCCCACTTGCGTGTGTAAAAGTACAAACAATTTAGGCCACCCTATATTTCATGCACTCTCCAGCTATAGTCAAGGTATTCAGGATGGTTGGTTGGTCTGTCCTTCCCCCCACTTGCTTGCTAAAAGTACAAACAATTTAGGCCACCCTATATTTTCACTGCACTCTCCAGCTATAGTCAAGGTATTCAGGATGGTTAGTTGGTCTGTCCTTCCCCCCACTTGCTTGCTAAAAGTACAAACAATTTAGGCCACCCTATATCTTTCACTGCACTCTCCAGCTATAGTCTATATATACAATACCTGTGTATGTAGCTCTTGGGTCTCTGGGCCCAGAAGATTGGTCTGACGTCTTCGGTACACCTCTTGTGACTGGCTGGAGCTTTCCATGGCAACGTCTTCAGTGACAGCGGGTCATCACACCACATACCTTGGAGGTGAAGGAGGATAAAAGAGGAGCAGATAGGGGGAAAGACGAGAGTTGTGAGTGAGAGAGGAAAGGGTTTGAGCAAGATAGCGGAAAAGATGAAAGAGGATAGAAAGGAGAGTGAAAACTGCTATAGTGGAAGAAATGTGAACATACCTAGTTCAGTAAGGATTGAAATAGTGGCGACCTCTCGATTCAGAGTATAGAAATGTAGACCATTCACCTGTACATAAGGAGAGACAGAGAGAGAGGTAAAATAAGTGAAGAAATAGAGAAAATAACATCTCACCAGTCCAGAGTTGAGTAGCTCTTTGCACATGTTGACGGCAAAACTGATGCCAAACTTTTGGATCGCGGCGTCGTCATCTTTGATGGGTAAGATGGCGTCCATGATGTTTCGAGGAACCTCCAGTTTCGATAGCTTTGTCAGATTGTGCAGACTCCTGTAGCCCTATTGTGTGTATATAGAGTACACTTGTACTATAGCTGAGAGAGAAATTGCAAGAATACCACATGGTTTCTGTTGGCACAAAATTGTTCTTGAAACTCGAGAACAGGTGTTTAACTGGACGAGACACAGTGACAGGTACATACATACATACATGTGGCAAAATTTTCAAAGGGAACAGATATTTAACTGAATTTGAAGAGAAATTTTGATGTCAGTTTACGAGGGCACTACATACAAAGTTTTCGGGTAAGTATACACGCAAATACTGTTGTGGATAGACTAATTGACAACTAATTCGATGTACCTGAATGGGCAGTATTCCTGGCATGATGGGAACAGTAATCCCAATCCTCCTGCAGTCATGGTAGAACTTGATGAAAGTTGAGGCCTCGAAGAACAGCTGCGTGATGATGAAATCTGCGCCCGCGTCCACCTTCTCCTTCAGATGTTGAATATCCTCATCGTAGTTGGCGCAGTCAGGGTGACCGTGGGGATAACCTGGAATTACAGGGACAAACTGTACTCGTAAAGAACGCAAAAAAAACTTGTAGGATTCTTCCTGTATTTGTGCAATAATTATTACAAAAAACCTTGCATGATGCTTGCCGTACTCGTGAAAATGGGCAAAAAAACTCGCTGGCATCTTAGTGTACCCATGAAATGGGGGGAAACATGTAGACTGGTTGCCTTCTTCATAAAATTAATGGCAAAAAAAACTCGTGGGCTGCTTGCCTACCAATGTAATGGGGAAATACACTTAGGCTTGATGTACACAAAACAACTGGTTGGCTGCTTAGCACATGAACCTGTGAAATGGGCAAAAAAACTTGTAGACTTTGCCATACTCACGAAATGAAATAAAGTTGTAATGTACCTGAGAAATGGGGGGGAAAACTTGTAGGCTGCTTCCAACGGCAAAACACTCACGGGCTCCTTGACGTAATCGATAAACGTGCACAAAAAACTCGTAGGCATTCTCGTGAAATGGCAAAAAAACGCGAAGGCTATTTGGCGCTCAATGCTAGCTGCAAATGAAATGCAGTGAAGCTACAAACATTGTCAAAGAGAGAGAGAGAGAGAGGTCAAGGGTGAGGTGTACACGAGATCAGGAGTGAGATGACGGCAGTTTCTGGTGAACCTCGTCAGCCAGAGCTGAGAGGTCGCAGTCTCTGAGTGTCTTGATGAGTGTCTCCCACGTCACTGGCTCCACCCCCCTCCCCTCCAGCCACTCCTGGAGAATTCGCAGAACTATCTTCTCTGGTTTCCAAGGCACTGCGCTCAAGCTGTCGACTCGACTCCCGACTGTATCGTTGAGGAGAAGGATTCCAAATGTGGAGTAGTTGGCACCAACTCTCTGCGGTATCTTGAGACGCAGCAACTGAGGCAGAGTTGGAGGACCTGAGACAATATAACACACCCTGTCACTACCACACTTTAATAACTCTAACACTCATGTCTCAACAACTTGGTAGCGAGGTAGAAAGGCAAGGCAAGGCAAACAAGTCAACTACACCCAGGACAGCTCTTTGTTTTCAAAAGAAAAGAAGAGCTGCCCTGGGTGGGATTCGAACCCACGACAATCCAAGCCTGAAGACTTGCTGACAATGCAATACCATGCAGATTTGGGAGGGAGAGGAAGAAAGGAAGGAGGGAGAGAAGAGATCTGTAGACAGAGGAAGACTCACTCATTCTGGGTGTCTTGGGACTGGGAGGATTGCTGTCCACAATATCACTCATCCTGCGTTTTTCGCGATCTGACAGGCAGGGAGATAGAGGACAACGGTACACGAACTCAAAGGCACAGTGAAGAAGTTGTAGCCGACTCGGCGACTGTGAAACTGGAAAAGAGGAGAAAACGCTATTATCAGTTCAACACTGACTTAAATCAAACAACAGAGTGTACACAAGACACACACACACACAATCCGAAGTCTCACTGGAGCAGTTCGTCAACATCAATGACAATCATTCGCAACTAACTGGTGGAGTCGTTTAGAGGCATAGTCTGCACAACATATTCTGCATCCAGTTTTTTATCAACCAGATACTGTATACGCAAAGTAAATAATCTGAGCATTACTGTATATTGCCATAAGCTTCACATGTCAGCCATCCTCAACTATTGACCAATCAGATTCAGAACTCGCTAAAGCAGAAATGCAGCAAACATAGGATTTGAACTATGAAGACTAGGTAAAGCGAGAGACGAGAGAGAGAGTCGTAACAGACTCCAATCCGTGGTGTGTCTCTCTCTCCCGTCCGTGAGCTACTGGCCAAACTGGGGGACTGCAGGGAACCACATGAGGACAACTTCAACCACACATCATACCACACTGAGTGGACACCACATATGTATGGATAACCTTTGACTACTAGTGGGATATGGTGGTGGTGAC